GTCAGCACGACACCACTTTGTTGTTTCGCCTGAGCACATAGCATGTCCATGTTGATTTGCATTCCTTGTTCAAGCGTTTGTCGGTTGGTAGCAGCAAAAATATGACAAAGCGAAAGGCTGCCGAGGCCGGCCTTCCATGGTACTCCATGGCAGGACAATGTTTTCGGATGACTGTTGAAATTCCACCCGACCGCATCACCAGAGACAAGCACATGTTCTTACACGTGGTACTTTGTCTGGGTGACAACGTTCTACAAGCTCGCAAGATCTTCTCCTACCGCATCAAGGAGATCACCGGCAGAACTCCTAAAATCCCAGCTTTCTTCTTCGAACAAAACCGTCGACGACTACATGATTGGGATTCAGTCACCACATTAGCCACGTTGAAGCCGGTGCTTTTTGTTAGAACCTGTTCGGATCAGGAAATACGACAATCACCCGATCGCTAGTGACAGCGAGAAAAGTGCGCCATTCACTCCTTTTGCCACGCATCAGACCTTTCACTCTACTTGAAGCATGTACGCCCCATTGGGGCTGTGTGTGTGTGAACCTCCCTAGCACATGGGAGCAGAGGGTCACTCCTACACTGTTTGCAATTTTTGCTTTTCAACTTAATCAGACATTGGACATTTACCAAATCAACTGTTGCAGGGGAGTGTGGCACTTGCGTCCTACCACACTCAACGAAGCTGTGGATGCAAGTGGGAAGCGGGACCTGATCAGTCCTGTGTACCTGCACAAAATTGAGCTGGGGCCCCTGTGCCAGCCCGATTAGAAGGCCCCTGTGCCAAGATTAGAGAGTTTTCAGTTGCCACTTTTGGCGGTTGATTCGACAACAAACAAGTTGTACGGTTGCCACAATCTGACAAGCTTCTGCAACATGAACAACATGCCTCTCTTTTTCCTCTTGCACTCGTACTCTTGGCCGAATCCATCAGTGTGTGTGTAGGGCGACAGCAGCACGAGGCGGTATATAGCAGCAGAGGCACAACACATCCAGCCTGACCGGAGGCAGCACAGACACAACATAACAGCTTCACTCCACGAAGAGCAGGATCGTAGGCATGGAAGTCTGCCTGCTCAGCGGGCGCTCCGTCGCCCTGCCAATCGCGGAGGAGGAGCTGGTAGATTCTGTTCGCCGGCGAGCCCAGAGTGCTCTGGGTCTGGAAGGCCGGGGCCGTCTGGTGGACGCAGACGGCAACAGACTGGCGGGCGAATCGCCTGCTAAGCGGGCAAGGGGTCCTCTGACACTGGAGTTGCGATTGCCTCGGGTCCACAGGGGCATAGTCATCCATGGTGATGGCCACGTGGACGAGCCCGAGATCAAGGATGTGGCGTCCAGGCCACTGCAGGGGCTTTCGCTGCCATTCTAGACAATGGCTCGGTCGTGACGTGGGGCAACCCCGCATACGGCGGTGACAGCGGCTGGGCCGAGCCGGACTTGCGGGACGTCATTGAAATCCAGGCGAGGGCCGCGCATTTGCAGCTCTGATGAAGGATGGCAGCGTGTCCGCTTGGGGCGATCCCGATCGGGGAGGTGGCACTCCTTTTGTGGTTGAGCCCTGGCACGACGGCCCGGATCCTCTCCTGGACTCCGTGGTCTCGATCCAGGCCACGTCTACCGCTTTTGCCGCGCTGCGACGGGATGGTACCGTCGTGGCTTGGGGCTTTGGCAGAGCAGGTAATGACGCCTGGGAGCTCCGGGATCGCCTTAGAAACGTGGTGAAGATTCAAGCCAATCGGGCAGCTTTCGCTGCAACCTTGGCTGATGGATCGGTCGTTTGCTGGGGAGATCCTGACTTCGGTGGCGAAGGCTACCAATTCGTCGACGGAGAGGCTCTGTGCAACGTCCAGGACATCCAGTCCGCGACACGGGCTTTCGCTGCAATCTTGGCTGATGGATCGGTCGTTTGCTGGGGAGACGAGATCGGCGGAGGGCTTCTCCAGGACCACATCGTCTCTGCTAGGGCGGCCCAAGGGAATCACTACAGTTTCGCCGCCATCCTGGACGATGGATCGGTGACGACCTGGGGAGATCCTGACTTCGGTGGATGCAGTGCAGACGTGCAAAAACTGCTTGTGGATGTCCGGCAGATCCAGTCTACCTCTCGCGCCTTTGCGGCCATACTGGGCGACGGCTCCGTCGTGTGCTGGGGCGAACCCGCATACGGCGGGCAAGGCAACAGGCATCGACTGCAGAATGTGAGGCGCATACAATCCACGATCAGCGCCTTCGCCGCGATCCTCGATGACGGCTCCGTGGTCACCTGGGGTTTTGCACTCGAGGGCGGAGACAGCAGCCGAGTTCAGGGCCAACTGCAGGGCGTTGTCAACATCGCCGCCGGGCGTCGCTACTTCACAGCCATCCGCAACGACGGATCGGTCGTGAGCTGGGGGCTGCTGTGACAAAGATGTGCTGCTGCGCGGTTCCCTGCCACGTAAGCCCTTCCTTCCCTTAAGTTTTCAGGGCACCCTAAAACCCTTTCGACCCGATGTGGGCTGCCCGCCCCCCCTTCTGCCCTGCAAGTGAGCCGAGTGCGTGATTCCTTTTTTACTCCCCTAGAATCCCGACCCTTCGGCCCTGCGTTTAGCCTTTTTTTCCGCGCTCGCAGGTTCAAGCCGGTCGGGTGGGCGGGGGGTAGAGGCTTGTGGGCTGGCGTCGCTGGAGCCTCAGATTCTTTTGCGCTTGAGAGCTTGCCTGGGGATCGTCACGTGCAGCTGTTGTGCTTTGATCGCAGCCGACTAGAGCTCGAACTTGGAGAGCATCCAGCTACCCAACAGCCTCCGGCGGTGGGCACCCATGAAGCTCGGCCGCTTCGCTCGTGAAGTTGCCCTGAAGAGGAGGCGAGTGCTGCGGTACAAGTGGAAGGCTCTCCACGCGGCGATGCTTGCAGCAGATCGCGAAAAGAAGGACGCGGACCGCCTGAAGGAGAGCTTCAAGAGAGATGACGACGACCGCGACGACGAGGAGCGCTGGAAGCTGGTGGTGCTGAGGTGTCTCTACGAGAAGGGGCAGCTTGATCTCTTTTGCCGCTGAGTAGGTGAGAAGGAAAAAGAAGCGTCGGTTTGTGGTTGCGCCGAGCAGTGCTTGCTTTCTCCGTGCATGCGTGGGTGCCCAGGTCCGGACCTCTTCTTGCTCGGTGCCGACCCTCGGAGGGTTCTTAAGGGTTTGTTCGGGTTTCGGCCCCTCTCATCCTACCCAGGTCCGAAGTCTTCAGCGGCGCCGACTTCATCTCGCAACGCCTGGACCTTGGTGCACAGCTCGTTGCCTCTTCTGCTGTTCGAGCGCAGGTAGGAGTGCCTTGTCGCCCGGTAATCTAGAGCGCCTTGCATTCCGGAAACCTCGCAGCACGGTTTGCACAATATATATATATATATATATATATATATATATATATAACTGCCTTTTATATAGATCCTCTACAGATGATATCCTCGAGCCCTGCCTAGGTATATAGGTGTTATACTATTATTTATCCTACTTGTCGGGTATCACGAGGAACTATATACTATGGTTATATATATATATATATGTAGAGAGAGAGGGATTATATAGGGTTCTACCTACTCTATATAGTACTAGAATATAGACGTAGGGAAGCCGCAAAAACTGTAGCTGAGCTCTTTCGAAGTCAGCACTGCAAACCCCACGACCTGGTGTACAAACAGCTCGTGAGTCCATATATACACGCTATATACACACCTATGAACCTCCACGATACCCGCAATCCTATAAACCCGAACTATAAGCCCTAATAAGGGATTGCTGTATTAGCATCCTCCGTCCTTGCCACTATATTGCTGCCATGCCCCGTGCAGGATGTCTTCCACGAGCTCATGCAGGAAGCAGCGGCAGAAGGGCCGATGGTGGTAGACGACAGTGACGAGGAGCAGGCCCTTTGCCTGGAAGAGGTTTTGTATGTTTTACAATACGGTTGATATATACGGTTTCGCATGGGCTTATATATTAGGGTATATATATATATATGTAGAGAGAGAAAGTCTATATCGGAAAATGGAGCTCCCGGTTCGGGGCTTATAAAAGCTTTTTATATAGTACTTAGATTATACAGGCTTCGTGACTTCGGCCTTATTCTTAATTAGGGTTGCAAAGTGTTTTACACCTATATAGTATATAAAACCTTTTATAAACCCTGCGAGACCCCGAAGCACAAATATAGCCTATATCCGAGTTAGGGTTAGTTTTTCTAGTGAACCAGTGGATGCACAGGAGTCTGAGCCGAGTTGTGAAACCGAGAAGACGTTGCTAGGATTGCAGGGTGAAGCAGTGGCCTGTGAATGTGTGCGGCATGAACAGCAGCATCGTGCCTCAAGCGAACCTAGCGGAGATCCTTCCGACCTAGGACCTCGTGATGCCAGCCATGGACGCAGAACGCACATTCATGCCCTGGCCATTGGAAAGCTTTGAGGCACGACCTGGTTTAAGGACTGCTGCTGTTTTCTCATCCAATTGGAGTAAGTTGGGTAGTGCCCCCACTCCGTAACAGTATATGTATATATGTTGGATAAACTTTATATAGGGCCGTTTATGATAGTAGCCTGGTTTGTGAATGATAAAATAACCAACCATGATGAATTGCAGCATTTAAACAAGAAAAGTGTAAACCCTGAAACATTCCTATAAGGCTACATAGGGTCGAGCTTGTGCAGCGACCGTGATGTGATGTGTCTATCCCTGTTCTGTAGTTGAATAATTCCCAAAGTCTCCCCGTGTTCTGAGTCTGATACGATCAAGGCTCATCTGCACACAGCCGCTTTGTCACCTGGAAGCCGTGCAATTGGGCTATCCTTATCCGGGGTGCAGGTGTAAGTTTATGCGGGCGGGCAAACACACACATGCATGTGTGTGTGTGTGTGTATATATATATATGTATATATGTATACTCATGTATGCATGTGTGTAGATATCTGCACATCTTCGCCCCGCATGTCACATTGAAGCCCGACAGGCTTCTGCTTTTGCTGGTGGAGACGCAGAGATGGAAGAGACGCTTCTTGAATCTGAGCCTCCGCCTGGTCTGGGAAGGATGAGCTCGGAAGATGGCCAGGGCCAGCCAATCGGGCATTGTCTGTCCATTGTTCCCTCTTTGAACACAGGCAGCCTGTACCCGCAGCAGGAGCCCGAGCTGAGTCCACCAAAGGCGACAGAAGCAATGGCCAATCCGAGTCCGACAACGGCAGGATCCCCACCAGCTCCCGAACAGATGGCTGCAGAAACTCAGGCAACGGCCCCGCCAGCACTGGCCAATCCGAGCCCGACGCCAGCTCTTCCCGAGCAGACCAATCCGAGCCCAACGACTGCAGGATCCCCGCCAGCTCTTCCCGAGCAGACCAATCCGAGCCCGACGACTACAGGATCCCCGCCAGCTCTTCCCAAGCAGACCAATCCGAGCCCGACGACTACAGGATCCCCGCCAGCTCTTCCCAAGCAGACCAATCCGAGCCCGACGACTGCAGGATCCCCGCCAGCTCTTCCCAAGCAGACCAATCCAACCCTGAGCCCGACGACTGCAGGATCCCCGCCAGCTCTTCCCAAGCACCCCTTGCTGGTGTCAAAAGCTCATGCACGCCTCAACAGGACACGTCCGCAAGAGCTGCCGAGTCCACCAAAGTCACCGCAAGCACCGCTCTTGACAGAACTTCATGCAGCGGCCCCGCCAGGGCTGGCCAATCCGAGCCCGACGACTGCAGGATCCCCGCCAGCTCCTCCCAAGCAGAGCTTGCTTCAGACAAAAGCTCGTGCACCTTCCGCCCCCCCTTCCGCGACACCTCAGCAGGAGCTGCCTGTGCCGAGTCTGCCAAAGCCGCCGCAAGCGCCACCGCTCGTGCCGAGCCCGACGACGGCTGGATCCCCACCAGCTCTTCCCAAGCAGATTTTGCTTTTGACGGATGATGGACATGGCCAGCCGAGTGGCCACTCTCTGGCTCTTGTTCTCGCGAACACAAACAATAAATCCCTAAACCCTAAATCCCTAAACCTTAAATCCCCAAACCCTAAATCCCTAAACCCTAAATCCCTAAGCCCTAAATCCCTAGTCCCTAATCCCTAAATCCCTAAGCCCCCAAGCAGATGCCTGGTTGTCGACGACGAGCTCAACATCCTTCCCTTGTCCCGGCATGCCAAAGCCAGCCTCCCATCGTTCCTCGTGTTTCTTACCTTTGGTTAGTAGGTTCCTTTAAAGGGATCTATAGGGTACTGCAGGGTATCATAGGGTTTAGGGTTTGGGGTTTACTTACCTTTGGTTAGTAGGGAATGGTAGGGTTCCTTTAAAGGGGTCTATAGCTGTTTAGGGTTCCTTTAAAGGGATCTTTACCTTTGGCGGAGGAATATGGGGTACAGTTATAGCTACGATTACTACCATTCTTCCATTCCCTACTAACCAAAGGTAAGGTTTTGGGAATTTAGGACTTAGGTTTTAGGGTTCAAGGTTGAGGGGTGTGGTTCGGCTGTGAAAGGGCTTTGTGAGATTTCCTTAGGCTTTTGTAGGGTTTTTTTGGGTCTGGCTTCAGAGGTATTGCAGAGCTTTTGTGGGTTCGTCGAATCGTGAAAGGGTTTCGGCTTAGGGTCGAGGTGTACAGAGTCAATGGGTTTACATCTGGGGTGTCAAGGCAACCTCCGTTTATGGATTCAGGGCTCAGCGCCGTAGAACGTCGAGCTTCGGCATGTAGTTGCGGAGCCGGGCTAAAGTCGGCTAGAGTCCCACGCATTCGCTTCGAGCCAGAACCCCTTCACCACAGCGCACACCCTAGAACCCCAAAGTCCGAGACCCAACTCCCTTAGACCCCACAAAACAAGAAAACAAGCAACCGAGGACCCAACAAGAGGCCGGTGACCCTCAAATCCTCAGGCCCCGTTGTTTGGCAAAGCAAAACGCACTAGTATAGAAGCCCGAAGAACTACACGCAGCTATTCTTCATTAACATAAGTATGTATAATATAGCATCCCGTCAACCCTAAACCCTCTCCGCCTGTAACCCTAAGCCTTATAATCCTAAACCCCACAACTCTAAACCCTATAACCCCAAACCCTATGACCCTGAACCCCCTAAGCCTCTATGGAGCTCTTAGACAGAGCCTCCCCCCTCATTTTCAAAAGAAACCTGTAGCTTTTTAGGATTCCTTATTATGGTTTCTATATATAGTTCCTTAAAATCCCTAAACCTTGAACCCTATAACCCTAAACCCAGTTCCTTAAAAATGTAGGTCTTTTCGCTTTCAAAAGGAAGGCCCGGTCTCCTTTCCTAGCCCTGCCGAGGCCGTGAAGGCGCTGAAGGCCCGGGTTTCAGGGCTTCGGAGCTTTCGGGTTTAGGGGTTACAGTAGAAGCCAGAAAGTTGGAATATCATTATCGTAACCCCTTCAAGGTAAATTATAGGGGATCCTACCATTAATCCATATTCCAACTTTCTGGAGTTCCCTTTAGCAAGTAGGGACCCAGAGACTCCAATACCCCCTAATTAAGGAATATTCCTTACATCATATTCGGGGTACTATAATTTAAGGTATAGGGATTTTGGAGTTTCCGATAATTTGGGGTACCTTATTTTGGGGCCTTTATAATAACGATCCTACTAATTAGGGTACTAGATTAGGGTCCCTTGTTTTCGGAAACTCCCATTTTGGATTTACGGCTTCCAAACAGAAGGGTGTAGGGTTAAGGGGTTTAGGGGTTAGGGATTTTTTTGATTTAGGGCTTCCAAACAGAAGGGTTAGGGTTAAGGGGTTTAGGGGTTAGGGATTTTTTGGATTTAGGGCTTCCAAACAGAAGGGTTTAGGGTTAAGGGGTTTAGGGGTTAGGGATTTTTTGGATTTAAGGCTTCCAAACAGAAGGGTTTAGGGTTAAGGGGCTTATGGGTTAGGATTTTTTGGATTTAGGGCTTCCAACCCCTTCTGTTTAGGGTTAACGGGTTTAGGTGTTGGGGATTTTGGATTTAGGGCTTTTGGCGCTTTTCGGTGGAAGGGCTCTTGTGGATCCCTTAAAGCGGGATTGGAAGGGTTCCTTGAAAAAGGGTGATGAGAAGGGTTCAGGGCAGGGCTTTTGGGGCTTAGGGCTACTTGGGATTTTCATTGGGTTCCAATCGAGGGTATTATGAGGGTTCCTTCCTAGAGAACCCAATACCCCTTAATTAAGGAATATACCTTATAATTATAGAGGCCCTAATATTATGATTTAAGGTATATTCCTTAATTAAAGGGTATTGGGATCTCTGGGTTTAAAGGGGTCGATCAGGCTTTGGGATTCCGACGGCAAGAGCTTACCCAGGGTTCAGGATTAGTTACTTGGGTTTAGGGTTCAGAGTTTAGGGGTAAGCTGAGGTTTAGGTTTCAGGGTTTATGGTTTCTTAGGCTTTTTTCAGGCTGAGTTTAGGTTTCAAGGGTTTTAGCACCATTTAGGGTTTTATAGGGCGGGTCTGGGCTTTGAGGGATGTTGGCATATTTAAGGCTTTTTGGGGGAGGATTTGGGCTTTGAGTGTTTGGGATTCAAGGATTTAGGGCTGCTGTTTGGGGTTGAGAGTTTGGGGTCAGGGTTCAGGGTTTTGAGAGTTCTTGCCTAGGGCTGCGAAAGTTTAGGGCTTAGGGTCCAGGACTTTCTGGGTTAGGAAAGGTATGCGTGGTTTTTGAGGAGGGTGAAAGTGGCAGCAATATGGGGGTTTCCGAAAATAGGGCCTTATTACAAGGACCCCGCAAAACCAGGGTGCCCCTAATTTTCGGAAGCCCTAAACCCTTATAGTAGCCCTTTAAAGGAACGAACCCTCATAGTAACCCTTTAAAAGGACCCTAAGAGTACCCTCAATTTTCGGAAACCATATCCAGCAAAAGTCTCTGCAGCAGTTCGGTGCGCCAGGGCAGGGGCCATACACCCCGCGGTTCGAGGACAGCATCACTGTACTCGCTGACTAAGCCCTAAGCTCCTGAACCTGAGACTAAACCCTAAACTGAGTTCCTAAAGCAGCTTTTCGCAGGATGAGGACGAAGAGGAGGGCGACAGCGAGAGGCCACCAATTTCGGGGCTGGAGTGGAAGGGCTTCTTTATCATCCGGACCTCCATTATAAAGAGACCCTTGAAAACATCCTTATCTTAAACCCCGTTCCTTACCCATATCAGTGAAGGATACCTTGTTGGTGGTAATACCTGATAATTCAAGGCACGCCGGTAGAAGTCCCCAAAGACTTGTGGACCGACAGGAAGGCAGGTTTGACTGTGTCAGTATGCCTCGCTCGAAGGGAAACGCTATTCCAAGATGCTTCAAGATGCTTTCAGAGCCAGAAGCCCTCGACACAGAGATTTGCCTCTGAGGTCATTTCTGAACGGTTTGGGGCTGCCGGGTCAGGTTTCGGGCTCGGGCTCGGGGGAACTCAAGGGCTTCAGGCTAGCATATTGGAATCTCCATTGAAACTCAAGTCTGCAAGGCTTCCTTCAAGGGCTCTACAAGGGCTCTATCGCTACCATGACCAACTTCATCGCTACTGATGTTCCCATACATATGCACATCACATCCAACACTTGGGCTTACTTTGGGGTCTTGACGAAGGCAGGTATTGGTACATGTTCTACAGTTTCGAGTGCTGAGGGTAATGCAAGACCCTGTCCATCAACAGGACTTCTCAAGGGCTCAAATCCCTAAAGCCCTCAACCCTAAACCCTACACCCCAAGCCAACAAACCTAAGCCCACAAATCCTCATGAAAGAGGCCCGTATAGTGCCTTTCGGGGAGCCTGTGGACCGCCAAAAAATGATTTTGGAACTGCGAGGGCGGCGAGGCATCAAGCAGCGAGAGTGATAAAAGCAAGCGATGCTTCCTTCAAGCCATGTTCAACAGGGTTTAGGGTTTACGGTTCGGGGTGTCGGAAGAAGCTGTACATTGTAATGTCTGTTTTATTTTTTGCATCGATGTAAAAAAAAAAAACATACATTACACTGTTCAAGTACATAGGTGGCACCGACATGGAACGGCTCTTTCTTGACACAGAACACTTGGCAGCTGGTCCCGGTGTCAAAGCTTGAGGAACACTGAGCAAGGAGGAGCGCGAGATGCCAGCAGAGTTCCCTGATCTTTTCTTCGGTTTCCCATGCTAACATGTGGGGAGTTTCCGAAAATAGGGGATCCCAATATAGTACCCTAAATAGTAGGATCCTTATTATAGGGAACCCAAAATAAGGTACCCCCATTTTCGGGAACTCCCATGTGTCGAAGCCCAAAATGCAGAGCAGAAGGCGAACCAAGACACGGACAAGGATGGAAGTCTTCGTACAGGAAAAACCTTCACCCAGCAGGTGATGTCCTCTCTGAATAAGCGAGCCGCACGTGGCGCTGGGCCCGTGGCCTTTCCGAAAGGCGCCGCAGGACGTGGGCATCTCGGAAGAGAACCCCCGACAAGGTCCACACGAGGGAGTCTTCCTTCCAGCCACGCGTCAGGTTTTCTTCATGCGGTGATCAAATCATGGCTGCGCACAGCAACCTCCTTGCGCAGGTCCACGCTTCTCCTGACGTTGCATCTGAAGCACTACCGCAAGTTGACAGTATTCAAGCCTGAAAAGCTAGCAATACGATTCGGGGTTTCAGATTGTAGCTACGCTGTGCTCGTCTCCAAAAGCCGATTCCCCTTGTTCAGATCCCCACACTAGAGGAAGTCTTTAGGGAACTTCACTATTGAAGCCTTCAGTCCCTTGAGTTCTCTGAGATCCAAATACCCCTTAGTTAACAAATATACCATAAACCATAATATTACGGCCCCTAGTTGTTTATTTAGGGCATATTCCTTAATTCAGGAATATACCTTAAAGCCTACGGCCCCTATAGTTTAAAGTATATTCCTTAATTAAGGGGTATTGGGATCTCTGAGTCCCTTGCGTTCCGGCCCGGGGCTCCTGCAGGCCGAAGACTGCCAACGAGAAAGAGCTGGAGGAGCTGAAGGCAACGACGGCCCCCTGGCGGAAATCACATCATCCTAACGATGAAAAGTCATAAGAACACTAGGTTGGATTTTGGAACATTTTTTTACTTTCCTTATTTGGGTTTATAAGGGACCCTATATATAAATATTTTTCAGGGTGTTTAAAGGCCAACCCAGAACAATAGCCAACAATACCAAGGGGCCCATTGATCATAGATTAATAGTCATGATGAGAACAGCAGCAATGTTACTCGGGGTCCAAATGATGTAACCTGGACTTAGTGAGGCAGTGTATGATGCTTTCCAGTCCAGTTGCTTCAGCCCTTTGTTCACGGTCTGAGCCTTAAGGTTTCTACGGTTTACTTTGCTGGGGGTCTTTGGGCTTTAGGCTTCCAAGGTTTAGGGTTTCTGGATGTCTGGTCCGAGACCGAATCTAGAGAGGCCAAGACACCGGAGTTTAGTCAGGGTCAGGATCTCTTAGCAAGTTAAGGTAATTTAGGGGCCTAACTAATTACAAATACTATTTTGGGGGTTCCTTAGTATTCGCATAGTATAGTTGTCCCCCCAACCCCTATTCTAATTATTAAGGCCCTTATAGTATGTTTCTTTCTTTGCTTTGTTTATGTCTGTACACAAGAGACATTGATACTGGGTGATCTTTAACTTTAGGGTAAAAGGCTTGGGGCTTGGGGTTTATTCACGTTTGCACGACGTTGGTTTCTAGTCCCTGTCCCAAAGAACCCTCGACAAAACGAACCTTTAAATATTCCTAAGAAACCATTACTATACTCTGGTAAAGGAACCCTGTAGAAGTTTCTTTTGTAGTTCCTTTTTACCAAACCCTAAGGAACCCTAAGAAACCCTTACAGTTTCCTTTTATCCTTCCTTTAACGTTCCTAAGAAACTCCGCATCTCCTAAACTGCTTAGAGGCCGAAGCGGTTCCTTTGGGACCGATTGTGGCCGCGTCGCGGACGCTCGACCAGGTGCGAAGCGTGAGGGCGGGTTTAGGGCTTTAGGGTACTAAGGTTTTAGGGTTCAGGGCTTTAAGATTTAGGAGTTTAGGGGTTTTTAAGGTTTTAAGGTTTAGGGTTGAGGGTTGGGATTGGGGTTCCAAGGGAGTGGTTTGTGGTTTTAGGACTCAGGGCCTTAGTAGGGTTCAGGAAGGGTTGGGATTCGGTTTCGCTCTGAATCTTAACACCCTAACATCCTTCATATAGCGGCCTGAAGGACTAATAATAATAATTATTATTATTGTTATTATAGTAATAGTAATAGTAATACTAACACTAAAATAATAATAATAATAATAATAATATAACGCGATCACTCCGTCAGGCGCCTTGTTCTACTTCTGGTAATACTAGACCCCAAACCCCAACTTAAATTAGTGAGGCCCCTATGGTAAACCATTCTGGGCAAACCCTTATAATGCCCTGGAGGAGCCCTACAGACCAGGACAGCTATTCTTGGAGTCAGCTTTCAAAGTTCTTCAGAGCTTGCATGCGTGCGTGTTAAAGTGTTTGTGGGAGCTTGGGTATCAAGTTTCAGAGTTAAGGATTTCGAAGTCTCGCGCATCAATTTCAGCTCTGGGCTTTCACGCACTGAAGCCCTACGTGGTAGGCACCCGCGTGGTATGTCCGTACAAGCCGCTGATAAGACCTTTGGTAAATCTAAGCCCGAGAACCGAGAACCCGAACAGCAAAACCGCTTAAAATTAAAGCGAAAGCACACAATAAAAACATTCCAAGTCCTAAAGCCTAAGCCCTAAACCCGTGCCTAAACAGACTCCAATCCTCTGTTCTTTCCGTTCAGGCAAAAGCCGTCATGAGTTTCGTGGATGCGATCTCGGAGAAGAGCTTGAATCGAACGTGCCTTGGACCTTATTTCAGTGCTTTATGGGATTGCGTGAGAGCTTTTTGGGTTTGTACAAGGGGGAGAAAGTGCCATGCAGGGCGTGCTCTGGGTTTTTGTCACGTGTTTAAGGCTTTACCAACCAGTTTCTGTGATTTCAGGTTGGCAGTTTCGGGGCTGGCAATCCATAGACCCTACATGTTTAAGACCCGAAAAGCTTCTGGCAATCGCAAACTCACTTAAAACGACAAGGCCTTGCAAGTAGAGCCCCCTACCTGCTCCCCGTCTCTCCGAGGATGGCGCTGACTGCAGCGCGTGGCCGTGGCAAGCACTTGGGCGGCAGGGATCAGTAGGTAGGGCCTCTGCAGGATTTCACGAGCCGGCTTTGGGGATTCGGGGTGGACCGTTTGCAGCTACATCTCATTCGAAAGGACTGTCTCCATAAGCTTTCAGTAGGTCTTACGGTGCTCTTCGCAAGCGGATATAAAGGTCTGAAGTGGGTTTCTCACCGTGGGATTGAGTGTACATTTTGAGAGTTGGAGTTCGCACAGCGTGCTTGGATTCCTACGTGTTGCATGTCGAATAGTCGATTTGAAAGCGATTGCTTTCAGGATTTAGCGTTTACCTAGTCCGCCAAAGTACACACGCTGGCTGCCGTCCGTTGAGATTGAAAGCGATGTTCATACATCGGTCTAGAAACTGTGTACCTATGTGTATCTCTAGGTGTTGCTTTCCTGGGGGGACTTTGTTGGATGAGGTTCGTAGAATCAACACATAAGATAGCCCAAAAGTTACACTTTGAGGTCTTGGACGGTGTGCAGGTTTAGGACTGTGACAGTGCGAGTCTAGGGTGTTCTGGAGTCCTTTAGAGACCCCCTTTTTGGGATTCTTAGAACTTCTTTGGGGTTTTAGCTTTTATGGATCCCTTTCAAGGCCCCCTTTGTTGATTCTAGCCGCTAGCCCCCTTTAAAGCCCCCCCCCTTTTTGGGGGGGACTCCTTCTAGACTCCTGTAGATGCCCCTTTTTGGATTCTTAGAAAGGCCCCGCCCTTTTTTGGGGGACTAAACCCCTAAACCCTAAACCCCTAAACCCTAAACCCCCAAACCCCTAAACCCTAAACCCCTAAACCCTAAACCCCTAAACCCTAAACCCCTAAACCCCCAAACCCCCAAACCCTACTCCTTGGGCCGAGAGAGACGCCGAGGTCCGCAGCCCTGGGCCTGGCGATCTCGGCGGCCGTGGCCTACGGCTACTCCAACATCTTCGTGACGGCACCGAAGGGAGGGGGGGGGGGGTTAAGGGTTTAGGGTTTAGGGTTTAAGGGTTTTGGGTTTAGGGTTTAAGGGTTTTGGGGTTTAGGGTTTAAGGGTTTAGGGGTTCCTTTAAAGGGGTCTATAGGTCACCATCTTCCTGACGGCACGAAGAGGGGAGGAGGGGGGGTTAGCTAGGAATCCCAGTAGTACCCTTATTCCCTTTTTGTAGTCCTAGGTTCCTTATAAGGTTACCCAATACCAAAAAGAGAGGCCTTCTTATTCTTAGGTTACTGGGTATCCTAGTTAGGTAGTTAGGGCTTAGGGGTTCCTTTAAAGGGATTTATAGGTCACTATCTTTGTGACGGCAGAAGGGGGGTTCAAGGGTTTAGGGGTTCCTTTAAAGGGACTTTTAGGGTATTGTAGTGTATCCAACATCTTCGTGACGGCAGAAGGGGGAAGAGGGTTTTGGTGTTATTAACATAAAAAGCAACCTATAGGGTACCATCTTCATGACGGCAGAGGGGGGAGGCGGGATCTAGGGTACGGTGATTAAGGATTTAGGGTTCTAAAGGTCTTGGGATTTTGGAGCGGGGGCTTCAGGAACTCAGTCACGGCAAAAGGGGGGTATTTAGGGCGTAGGAATTCCTTTGAAAGGATCTATAGGGTACGAGAGCGCACTTAGGATTTAGGGGTATGAAGGGTTTCGGGGCTTAGGGTTGTGTAGGGGTTTAGGGGTTATGTTAGGGCTTAGGGGTTAAAGGGTTTAGGGTTGTGTAGGGGTTTAGGGGTTCGGTCGGGGCTTGTTTAAACAGAGATCTTGGAAGGGTATCGTAGGGTTAGCGTGGGGTTAAGGGACTTATCAGCAGGGTTTAGGATTCCTTTAGCACTGGGATCTTATCAGGAGACTGTAGTGTTTAGGGTTGGTTCAGGGTCAGGCATCCTTCAGGCGTATTATAGGATGTAGCATCTACGGTTCAGGGTTCCTTGCCACATGGAACATTTAGAGATTCGAGTTCAAGGGTTTTTAAAGGTGCCCTTTAACCCTAAACCCTAAACCCTAAATTTAAGTGTACCAAAGGGTTTACGACAAATTGAGAACATCGGTCTTGGCCTTCGGGAGCTCTTGAACCCGTACTTGGTTGCAGGGGTGGATGGCAAGCATGTCCTGGGCGTTCCTTCTGGATAATTACATAATCTAATCATATACCAGAATATACCTCTCAAGCTCTTTTCCAACAAATTCGGCACCTATTTTACCCACAGTAGTCTTCGCGCCTGCAGTTTCAGCTCCATCCTGAAATCTGCTGAGGGTTTTGAGCTTACAGTGTTTAGCAGAAGTCATCGAGGTGCTAGCTAATGTCAACGGGGATGACTGGGATTGCGTGGAAGGGCAAAACACACCAGTTCCATTCACGCAGAAGCCAGCGGAACCTGTCCTTGCGGGTTTTCGAAGGTCAAGAAGTAGTCGCCACAACAGTTGTAGGAATATTCGGCTACACGGACCGGTTTTTTTGCAAGAGCAGGACCAGAAGTTGCGCATCCACCCAGAGAGGTACACGGAGGATGCACAAAAGAAAGCCGCAGATAAGCTTGCCAAGACCATGGATTAGCTCGGGTTGCAGAGCATCTGCATCAAGGACTTTGTCCAAAAACTTGGCAAGGGCTGCGCACAAGGCGTGCAACAAGCAGTCACGATCTGAATGAGCAATCCAAGCATCTGGAGTTTGAGCATCCTGCTACGGATGCAGTCCGTGCTTATGTGAAGCACAAGGTCGAACACGACAAGGTGCCTCCCCGAATGGTGTGTAACTTCGATCAAGTTTGGTGCCAAGACACATACAAGCATTGAAGACTTAACGCATCAAACTGCGACACCCTAGAAACCCAAAAACCTTGAAGTCCGCAAGCCCTCCCAAGCCATAAAACCCGAAAACACTCAACCCAGAAACGCAAAAGCCGGAACCCATGCGTACGTTTAAAGGAGCCTTATAGCACCCACAACGGGGGCCAACCCAAGACCCCTAAAACCCAAACCAGAATCTAGGGGCCTTCATAATTACCTACACTATTCTGGGGGGGGGGGGGGGTCCTTATCATATTTATAGTAGAATGAGCCCCCAAACCCCTACATTATCCCATAAGCATCAAAATAAGGAAGCCTCAAAATAGTATTGGCAATTATTTAGGCCACTATTCTACCAAAATAAAGCAAGAGTCCCCAGAGGCCCCTTCCCCGGAGAACCTGAGCACCGTCTTCGAGTTCATACTCAAGGGCTTCGATGCCTTGGGCATGAAGGAGACCGCCTTAGCAGGATTTGGGAGATGGGTTTTTGGGATTAGAATTTGGGATTGAGGGTGTGGGATTTGAGAGTTGGGTTTTCGGGTTTAGAATGTGGGATTTAGGGTTTGGGATTTGAGTTGGGTTTTTGGCTTTAAGATTTGGGATTTAGGGTTTGGGATTTGAGAGTTAGGTTTTCGGGTTTAGAATTTGGGATTGAGGGTTTGGGATTTGAGAGTTAGGTTTTCGGGTTTAGAATTTGGGATTGAGGGTTTGGGATTGGAGAGTTGTGTTTTTGGGTTTAGAATTTGGGATTTCGGGTTTGGGATTGGAGAGTTGTGTTTTTGGGTTTAGAATTTGGGATTTAGGGTTTGGGATTGGAGAGTTGTGTTTTTGGGTGCAGAATTTGGGATTTAGAGTTTGGGATTTGAGAGTTGGGTTTTCGGGTTTAGAATTTGGGGTTGGGGGTTTGGGATTGGAGAGTTGTGTTTTTGGGTTTGGAATTTGGGATTTCGGGTTTGGGATTTGAGAGTTGGGTTTTCGGGTTTAGAATTTGGGATTGAGGGTTTGGGATGGGAGAGTTGGGTTTTTGGGTTTAGAATTCGGGATTTAGGGTTTGGGATTGGAGAGTTGGGTTTTTGGGTTTAGAGTTTGGGATTTGGGATTGGAGAGCTGTGTTTTTGGGTTTAGAATTTGAGATTTAGAGTTTGGGATTTGAGAGTTGGGTTTTTGGGTTTAGAATTTGGGATTGAGGGTTTGGGATTGGAGAGTTGTGTTTTTGGGTTTAGAATTGGGGATTTCGGGTTTGGGATTTGAGAGTTTGTTTTTTGGGTTTAGAATGTGGGATTTAGGGTTTGGGATTGGAGAGTTGTGTTTTTGGGTTTAGAATTTGGGATTTCAGGTTTGGGATTTGAGAGTTGGGTTTTTGGGTTTAGAATTTGGGATTTAGGGTTTGGGATTGGAGACTTGTGTTTTTGGGTGCAGAATTTGGGATTTAGGGTTTGGGATTGGAGAGTTGTTTTTTTAGGTGTAGAATGTGGGATTTCGGGTTTGGGATTTGAGAGTTGTGTTTTTGGGTTTAGAATTTGGGATTTCAGGTTTGGGATTTGAGAGTTGGGTTTTTGGGTTTAGAATTTGGGATTTAGGGTTTGGGATTTGAGTTTGGTTTTTGGGTTTAGGATTTGGGATTTAGGGTTTGGGATTTGGGATGTGCTTAGGACTATAAAGCTTTGAGGGGTAGTTTACCGTTTTATGGGTCACTGTGTTCTCCGAGAGTTCATGAAGGATTGAGGTTTTACACCCACGGATCTTAAGAGGCTGTCATGAGGTTTTGAGGTGCTAGAAGTTGTACGGGTTGTGTATGCGCGTTGGAAAGGTCTTGCAGTGGCTTTGTGGTGTTTCTGTCCGGGTCAGATAGGGTTCTGCCTGTTCATGTTACACTTGTAGCTGGGATTGTTAGGCGGTTGCGGGCTTAAGGGTGTCAGGTAGTGGCAGTGAGGATCAGGAAATTTCGAACTTGAATGCACTGTTCGATAGGTTTTTGGTCATGGTGTCAGGGCTCGTTAGGGCTCCAAACAACGTCAAGGTTACGGTGTTTTCAGAGATTGTCGTAAGGAGCCAGCCCCATGCGCAGCCCCAAAAACCGGGCGGCGCCAGGAGCATCAGGAGTATGAGCTGGTGCAAGCAGAGAACCCTGAGCTCAACAAGGCCAGAAGACTTTCAAAATTCGGATGGTTCCCTGAGAGCCGTCTTTTTTGAAGGGAGGGGGTGGTGATGACCATATTGATATCCTGAGCTCAAGTACCCAAAAATGAGATCCGTTGGACCGCTACAGCTCTGGAGGCGGGGATCTTTCTTCAAGCATATTTAACGGAGCCTACAAGGATTAGAAGTGTGGTGCTGTTTTCTGGGCCGCGGGTTGGGTGTCCTGGGGTCAACACAGGCCTAAGGACTACTACTTTCCCTGAGTGCTGCTCCGAATCGTCGTTAAGAACCCAAACCCCTAGGCCAGTTATTCAAGCCCCCTTTTTCTGTACCCTGACAGGAACTCTCAGGGTTCCTTTCAGGTGACTAAAGGGGGCAGTTCATGCTGTGTGGGGAGGGGGGCATATTGGGCTCTACTGATTTTTGAAGCTCCCACCGTCTCCAGCGGTGTGTTGTGGAGAATGTACAGGGAAGCTTGGTGTTCGCTAAGCCCTTGGGTCCTAGAACTGATTTTGGAGAGCCCCCGGACCTGAAGCTCATGCCCCTCCCTTAATCAAGAAATATGGCTTAAATGATAACAATATGCCGCCAAAGAATTCACGGTACGTTCCTTAAGTAAGGGGTATTGGGCTCTCTGGGTGCTTGAGGCGCTGGTCAGGGTAAACATCTTCAAGGACGGATCCCGCTGCTTGTTTAGCATGCCATGTTCCCGGAAGTCAAGACTGCCATACGTCGTAAGTCCTAGCCCTTACGGGCCTTACGGACTAAAGCCGCCATCTGGGAGTCGGTCTATAGGCTTTGGGATCTGTATGGATTACTATAAGGGTACTATTGGGGCTTTAGAGTTTTTTGGTGGTTCCTTCGAGGGATCTACACGGGTTACTATAAGGGTACCATTGGGGTAATACGGGGGCGTAAGCTCCAACGGATCTCAGGCGTAGGACTAGGACCCTCCTTCTGTGATCCGGTTTGCTGGTGGGGTTGCAGTAGGGCTTCAGGATTTTTATGCGTTTCGGGTTTAGGGCGGCGGATAACTGGGCGATAGGCTCAGGGTTCTGGGTCTGAGTTTGTATGAACACTTACTTTTTAAAGGGCAATTCAAGATATTAGTATGGCTCTGGATGTTCTGGGCCTTTCGGATATAGAGTCTGGAGTTTATGGCGGAGCATGTAATACACTGAGGGGTCCTTCCCAGTCTTACATCCTGTGGCAGATACTCTTCCGTTTGGGATGGATCGGGATTGGGACTGGGAATCCACCGGGGTTCGAATTCTAATTTCAAGCAGTTCTACAAAGTACGCAACAGCCCTTGTGACTGTTCGATATTTCGTCGGCGGGGTGCAGAAAATGCCAAAGATTACAAGCAGCTGCAGTAGCGAGCACGCAAACGCTTGCTGCAAGCACAAGCAGGCACGTCCCAATCCGTCCAGGGCTCCTTTGCTTAACACTACAACCCCACAGCTTCTCCGTAGTTGAGGGATAACATGACGAGCAGCGGCAAGGGTAAAAGGCCAGGGTGCCCGCGCGTCAACCGAGTTTTTATAGTCGTTCTTCATCTTGTGCCTGGTTCTTGGCTGAAGAGATTCTGCTTTGGCGCCCCTTTTCTTGAAAATCTCTGTCGCCTGTGCTTGTTTGACGGCGTTGTGGTCGCGAGATCAAGCGGCATGGAGCATCATGGAATCTCGGTGAGTGCCTCACATGCTGATTGTAGACGCATTGTGCGTGACACATTCCCGTTCACTTACACCCGTCCAGCACCGCTCTCGCCCACACCCAGCGCCTCGTCGACGCCTCAGCGAGGCCACAGTTGTACCCCTGTCCCACAGATCCATCGTGCCTGCTTTTGACGTCACCATGTGCGCCCCCGCGTCAGCATGGTCGGTGGTTAAATGATCAGCAGCCCGACCCTCCCGCCTGCCCGTGCCTCTCTCCTTGTCCAGCCCCCTGCAATGGTGCAAAGCTCATGCCCCGCAGTGGGTTTAACAGTTCGACCTTAAACCTTGGAATGTTGCTGCTGGCGGAGACGCCCTTTTCACGACCTACTGGCCCCCGTCTCCCAAAGCCAAAACAGAACACGTTCTCAAGTGAGTTTGTTTTCCATGGCGCCAACAGTTTTGTTCTCGTGCTCTGCAGGACTTTGCCGTGGCCCTTGTTCTTCTACACGACTGTTGCGCACAAGCACAAGTGTTGAGCCATGGTACGAGCTAGGTTGAACTTCGTTTCTCACCTTGAACCCCTGCCGATACACGAGTACCGCGCTACATCTATGTTCAGGTGTCCCAAAATCAGTGCTCTTCAAAGTTGATATCAAGCAAGTGCTAGCGGCCAAAAACCCCGAATGCCATGAGCAAATGCCAAACTTTTCAGATGGAAGTCCCTGAGCTCCTAAACCTAAACCTCTAAAGCCGCAGGATCACCGCCAGACCGTCCAGTACATCAGTCCTTCCGACTGGCAGCATCTGGCACAGGCAGGAGGGTTTTACAGCTTAGGGGCCCCGATGCCTAAATTGAAGGGAGGTTTGGTTGATGACCGGACAGATTCAGTCGTTTCAACCCTGTGAGTGGTTGAGGTAGTCCCCTAGGGTTAGGGTCCATGTCCTGGGGGATCCCCATAGTCTACTTGGCGGCCCAGGGGACTTAGTAAGTAGGTTATAAGTAGGGTTATACTTGGGGTAGCTCCATCTAGTGTACTCATAGCCCTACTTATAACCTACTTACTAAGTCCCCCCGGCCTCTAAGTATTGTTCACGTTGGGGTTTTTCGGGATTGTCAAAGCACAGGTTTAGGTTCTGTTCCCACGGGTGCAACGGCCCAAATAGCAGGAACTCTAGTATTTAAAGCTGCTAAGGGTAACGGGGCCAGAGGACTCACAATTTAAGGTTTGGGCCGCAACACCACATTCGGCCAGCGCAACAAGCCCCGAACCATACAACTCGTGCAGAATTGGTATACGACCCGGAGTCAACATTCCTACGAAAGGTTCTGGACCCGCACGGTAAGTTGCAGTCATAAGTTGATAATTCGAGCATCCATCGCGCACATGTCCAGCAAACACCGAAGCCTCCTGGATACGGTGTAGGATTTTCAGGCGTAGAGTTCAGCATCTAGACAGTGTAGTAGAGATTCAAGGGTTAACACCTACGATGTCGGGACGTTGTAGCAAGTTTCGTTTCTGGCTGCAGGATGCTTTGGGAAGTTCAACGTAGCACCCTTGGTGTAAGTACCCAGGAACTTGAAAATTTAAGAAGCCAAACTGTCGAAGCGAAGCCCTAAATCGCTTGAATAAACTTTGCACTAGAGGCCATTGAGCATTGAATCTCTGTCAAGCCATGCTAAAGACACACAAAAAGTAAGCCCTGAAGCCTTAAACGTGGGTTCGAAACCCTCCAACAGGATTCGAAACGCATCAACAAGACTCACATCGATACCAATAAAGTAGATTTTGAAACCCTCCCAGTAGACAGAAGAGCAGACTTTACTCACAGTACAATGTGACAGAATAAAATGAATGTTAAACCATAAGAAGTTTTTCTGCGGCGTGCAAAGGCCGAGCTGTTGGTGGTTGACGAAGCCGCCGCAATTCCGCGACCCGACTTCTTCATTTTGGGGTTCCCTTAACCATAGTCCCTTTAGGAATTCTTTCTTATTTTTGTTCATATAAAACCCAAGAGAGTATTACAAATATTATTTTCATTAGGATTCTAAGGGGGGTATAGTTAAGGGTTTCCTAACTTTATCGGTTAGTTTGAAGCTACTCTAGGGTGTTAGGGTCACTTCAGGGTTTGGGGTTTATGCATTATTGGTTTAGGTGGTTCAGGTTTCTATTTGGGGTTTAGGGGTTTGAAGTTCGAGCAGAGGGAGTAATTGTTCTTCTAGTTTTTCGGCGTTCCGGGTGTGTTTGTTCTTTACTCTGAACGGTACCTATTTCTAGTCAAGGTAAGAGGCATTGGGCTTTGTGAACTCTAGCAAATTTTAGGAAGCTGATTGCTTTATTTCTTTCATGTCGTCACTTTTGGTAAAATGCAACTTGCGACGTTCCTTGTATCATCACAGAAACTTTACGGCTTTTGGTTGACTTTACTGCTTTTAGTTGCGGAGTCTCGGGCTGTAGGGCTCTAGGAGTGGGGAGCTTCAGGGTGTTGCTTTAGGCCCGGACCACGAGTCATGCGAGGCGCCCAGAGGTGAAATGAACTCCGCGGCACGCCGCGGTCTTCTTTCCGAGTCTGGTCGCAGCCGGAAAACCTTAAAGCCCAAAAACCTGAAGCTATCTACTCATGATTATGAGCGCCAAGAAAAGACATGAAACACGACAACAAGAAAAGAGTTTCAACAACTCGCGGAATAATGAACAAGGAAGCTGCAACACACCGCAACTACGCGCAGCCATGGACCGTGGTGTAAACATCATGAGTATATGTAAGGACAGTATAGTATACTCTAGTATAGTATAGTATAGCATAGTAAAGTACAGATACTGTGATGAAAGTATATATTTGAGCTAACTTGTAGCATCTCTTACGTGCAATTTCAAAAACCCCCGAAAGCCAAGCGCCCAGGCTGCCCATTGTGAAGAAGCTGCTCGGGTCCCGAACTCAGCGCAGCGAGGGACTAGGTAGGGCTTTGGGACATGTTATATTTTCTCTTATTGGGCTTAAGAGGAACTTAGCTACTAATATTTTTCAAAGGCTTTAAAAGCACCTCCTAGGGGATCCTCTGGAAAACTTGGGTTTTCGTGGCTAGGTACTGTGGGGGCCTTTTGGAATAGCATTCCTGTAAAGGGTTCATTACAAGGAATACTACAAGGTTCCGAAAAAATCTGGCTTTCCGCTTCAGGGGTTTAAGGTTTAAGGTGTAGGGGTTTAGGGTTCAGGCAAAACTCCATAGAAACCATTAGGGGGCCAGGGTGTAGGGGTTCAGGCGTTAAGGCTTTGGATTTTTGTCAGCGTGTGCGCATTGCGGGAGCTGTTGTTCTAAGCCGAAAGTCTACGCCGTTTTGGAGCTCTCAATGAACGGCGCGACTGACCGGAAAGCAAACTGGTGACGAGCATCCTTTTTCGTGTAAAGCGAAAGGATCCTCCGTCCCAGGCCATATCCAATATCTCATTTCTAGTATCTACTGTCAAATATGAGCTGCTTACGATACTATACTATAGCATTATATTATGTATGTTTTACATATATATATATACATATAATACATATTCCAAATTCCAAAGCATCCTCGGCCCCAGGCCATACCTGGTGCTCCTGGCTTCCACTGTGAATGGCTATGAAGGAGCCAACGAGCAGTCAAGTGGCTTCCTAGAGTCAAGCAGCATGGCTGATGGACAAAATCCTGCATTACCCATTATAAGGAATATACCATAGTTCCCATAGTTTAGGGTCCTTAGGGTCATGCAGGATTTTGTCCGTCAACAGTATGGAAGCTTGAATACTTATTTACACTACACCTGCGATACTTAGAGTATAGTATACCCCAATTGAATTCGGGTGTCAGGTCTGTTTAGCAGTATCTGACGCGGTTTAGGGTCTCCCCTTGTTTGTCGAAGGGATTTCCGTTCGCTCCCAGAGGCTGGAATCGGTTTGGGTTTGTGTTTGGGGGTGTTGCGTTTGTCATGTCGTATTTACATGCATACCTCTGTATACGCATACATATATATATATAATGTATACATACATCACGTACGTATGTATGCATATACACATATGTAGAGAGGCTACTTGTGGGTTACGGTTCAGGGTTTTTGGGCTTTGGGTGTTGTTTTTTTGAATGTAAGAGATCTTATCCGCAGCTCACTCCTGAGCCCCACGCCAACCCGAAGCCACAAGCCATGAACCCCGAACCTTCAAATTTCAGGCACCTTGAATCTTCCCAGAATGAAACCAGACTCACAAGACCGCAAGCCCTACCCTAAAACGCTAAGAGCAGGCACCGGCCGAGCCTTGTCCTTGAAACTCATCGAGGACCTGGGATCCATGCTTGGCTTCGGTTTCTGGGGATTTACAGGATGTCTTAGGCTTCCTGTGTGTTCGGATTGTGTTGTATTGGTTACCCGAATGGTGCGGGAACACCGTCGGCTGCAGTTCCGGCTAGGCACACCCGCATGTGCATGCGCTGCAGGGGAACGGGCCGGTCCCGTTTCCGCTGTGACGCTGTGCTCGCTAACTACGTGTTTGTTCAGATTTCCGCCCATTCGCTACGCTCATTCTGCCCAAAGTCGTTGCAATGCCACGTTGTTCAACCTCTCGAGCGTGGTTTGCTGAATCCCGTCAAGGGTTTTCTTGAAACTTGAGATTTGAGAAAGCCTCGATGCCGAAGGTCCTAGCAGCACGCTGTGAGGATCCTGTGTGTAGTCTCCTACTCGGGATGTGGCCCCGGTGTGGTCTTCCAGTCTTCGTCTTTGTAAACCTGAAACGCTCGATCGAGAAGCGTTCGATCGAAAGCCAAAGGATCACAGAAAGTCCTGATGACGGAAATGCTACATGGGGATTCCGGTTTAGGGTTTTAAGGTCCGCGGCTTTAAGGTCCAGGTTCGTTTCGTCGCAAGGACTACTCGAGGAAGGAAGTACTTTGTTGTCGCCCTTCGCGCCATTTGAGCAACTTGATCCCAAGAGCCGCACCATAAGTATTGATATTGGGGATCTAACATAGTATAAAAGCACGACTCTCCACTAGGTAGGCACTTGGTAACCTTCGGGGTACATGATGGGGAACCACAAGCTTTCAGAAAGTACGGGACCCCCAATATGGACACTGGACAGAAGATATTAGGATAAGTAAGGGCCACCTATTTCCCTGGCATATGTGCGGTAGAATTTTCCTACCAGCCCCCAGACCCAAACCCAACAATACTACATGCCGTGCCAGCCAAGCCAGTAGCACCGTACTTGTACGTAAGTAGCGCAAGTTGAGGGTGCAAGGTTTCCCCATTTGGATCAACCACGATGCTTAACAACTTGATCATTGACAAACCGTGGATCTCAATGGATTCCTTGTTATATGGATCCCATCAGGTGGGTTTTGCTGGAACCTGATTCAGGTTCCCCCATTGCTCACGAAAGCTGGTTCCCTTCTCGTCCGCGCATGTCCTCGGAAGGATCTGAAAGCCGGCAAGGGCGTCGGGGGAAGCGCCAAGAAAGGCAGGGCGGCAATCCCGAAGCCCAAACCCTGAACCTAACCCAAGAGCCGAGCCAGATAAGATCCGCGTGGGTCAAAGGAGCTTCTTGCCTGTAAAAGATTTGAATACTTATTTCTGGCACTCGTGTATGTGGGTCACGATATGCACAAAGCGGATACCTGCAAGCAAGCCTACGTTGGTTTGGGTTGGGTGATGTGCCACAACGATTTGGCCATGCAGTCAGTTGTCCTCTTCAGGCTGCCTTCTATATTTCGGTGATCCCAGGCATTCTGCCAGGATCCAAGGTCGTGGTCGTCTTGCCTCTGCTGAGGCAGGAGGATTTCCAAGGCGAGGGTCGCTGCCATCCTGGAGGAAGGTCGGCAGGCCCAGAGTGGCCTTGGAAAGAATCTTCTGAAGGCTCTGTTCGAACCCTGACACGGGACTCTGTTTGCCGAGGACGTGCGTCTGGTGTGCGGCGACCGCGGCGACGACCCGGGACACCGGACTCCCTGTCTTTTGGCCGCTGGACAACCTCCCACATCTTCAAGATGGCGAGGACATCCGTTCCCCTCTGCCCTCGAAATCGAAGCCTAAGCAGGCTCGGTTTCTCTTGGCCAAGATGGAAACGTTAAGATAGAAACGCCCCATGGATAAATCACCGAATCCCCATATCCCCATGCCGGCTCAGGGAGGCATTCTGCTTGTTCCTGGCTCCAAAGCGGGTTCATATCAGCATTCCCGAAGGCTGTCGAATTCAAGGTAGAAGTGTTAAACCGCAGCTAAACCCCAAACCTCCTGAAATGCTGTAAGATTTTCGCGTGAGACTTTACTGCTACCACGCTCAGCCCACGTATCAAATCATGTCGGTAGTTCTGCATGTTAGGTCCTGACATTCTTGGTGAGGCAAACGTATGGACTATATAGGCATATGAGAGTTTCCGAAAATTAGGGCTACCTCATTTTGGGGCCTTCATACTAAGGTTCCTACTATTTAGGGTACCATATTAGGATCCCCAAATTTTGGGAAAATCCCATATGGGTCCTGCGAGAAATCAGTCTTGGATCTGCGTGGGTTCAAGATTTAGTGTTCCGGCTCAGGGTCCAGAGTTCAAGCTAAAACGAATTCAGGGGAGCCTATGAATGAGCCCTAAACCCCCAGACCCTCAACTCAAAAGGATAGAAAGCCGTGAACAGGATCCTTTGGGAACTTCGCAGCAGAAACCTTGATCGAAAGAAACCTTTGTCGAAACCTGAAGCACAAGCCATCATAGAAGCAAACCTTAGGTAGTTCGTGGCTGTTCAGGAACCCAGAATTGAGCCATAAAGAACCCTTTTCAACCCCATAGAGCCGCTAAAGTATATTATATAAACCCCATATGACCCGAATTCTTGAACCTTCGACTAATCATCCCAGGAAACTCCCCTAGACCCTAAGGACCCTGACCCTGAGAGCCTCTCCGTTCTTGCCTTCTTTGCCCAGGGCCCTCCAGCGATCGAACCTTGCGGGAGCTTTCCTTGGAGGCAAGGGTTTTTGTTCTTTCGTCTCTAGGTCAGTTATGGTTTGGGTTTTGGATTTACGTTTGTAAGGATTTTTGATCATGTTAGAGATGTTTTGTGATAGCAGTTATATTGGTTTTTATTGGCATTGTCATCGCTTCTTGTGTCTTTCTGTTCCTGGTGTGTGACGATTGTCAGTAGTTTGTTTGGTCAGGATTTGCCGGTTCTGTTTGAGGGCGCATGTCAATTTAGGATGGCTTCTGTGTAACAGTGGGTTTTTCCTGTCCAACTGCTGGGGGTGTCATACCCACTTCCAAAGACAGCTTCAAACTTCTCGCTAGACTCTAAACGACTACTGCGCTGATCACTGGACTTCTCCAACATGAATGGCCTGTCTCCCTCTCTTGGGGTAACACAGTCTGGCTATGTCTCGCTCTCAGCAAGAGCCCCTGCAGTGCTCCTTATCATGGCAGATGCTATCTCCTCGTCTGTCCATTTGCAGCCAGGCTAGACTTGGTAGCTGAGAAAGTGAGTTGTGATCCTGCGGGGTTCAAGAATCTATAGCTGCTATTTTCGAACCTCCAACACCTTTGCTGCAAGCAAGGAGCCAATCCGCTATGCGCCTGGAGATCCCGTTGAGGCACCGCTCGGTTTGGGGCTTTGGGGGTTCCTTTATGGGGATCCATGGGGTAGTATAGGGTATTATGGGGCAGGCTTCAGGGTTTCATGACCCTTTTAAGGTTTAGGGCTTTTGGGGCTTCCGGGTTTTACAAGAGGGCAATACGGGTTTGGAGGTGTAGGATTTAGGGCTAGTTTGTTCAGTGATTCTATGATTCTATAATTGGTGTTAGCTTCCACATCTTCGTGGTTAAGGCTGTCGGGCTTGATTCCAGAGACAATTGGATACTCTAGTTGTGCTTGCGGGTGGGGGTAGGGGCCGAACTAACTTTTCCACTGTTTACGAGATGTTGCGAGGCTTAGGGTGTTCGTGATGCTTTTTAGGTCCAGTGTTTCGGGTCTGGGAAGTCTGAAAATTCTATCGGGTTTACCTGGAAGCTGCAAGAGTCTTCATTCATCCCTTGCACGCATGCTCTATCGACAACAACACCGCAATTGAGCATCACACATAGCAGCAGCTGCCTATTCGCAATCTCACCAGTGCAGAATGATCTTCGTTTTCGACCAATCAATACTCTGAATGCTGTTGACCTTTGTGCGGGCAAAATCCTCACGACTACAGGGGTTGACTGGCTTGTCGCTGTGAAACCTGTCCAACACTCGGATGACCCTGGAAACCTTTGCAAGCGCAATAGCATGTGTAGTGATCGTAAACTACGGTATACCTTTCTTCGAGCTTTGATGTTTCGTGGATGCATACATACATACATACACAGATATTTTACATATGTATATATACACACACGCACACATGGAGCGAGACAGTGCGCCGATATACCGTGGCTTTACATAAACTAACCATTGATATCGGAGGAGCTAAGGAGCCAGGGATGATGATAATCCCTAGTAAATAAGGAGCTAAAGAGCCCAGGGAACCCCAAAACCACTGCTTGGTAAACCTCTTGGCAGTCCTGGCTCGGGCGGTTACTTTGCCTGGACGCTGCGCAGGCCCTCACCCCCTCCCAGAGAGCCCAAGGGGCCCCTTAATTAAGGAATATGGCTTAAATGATATAGGGATTCATATTATGATTTAAGCCATATTCCTTAATTAAGGGGTATTGGGCTCTCTGGGCTGATCGGGTGTTTGGGTGCTGTTGACTTCGCTTCTTTGAAACGAGGGTTTAAGACTTGGAGCAAGGGCTTCCGGGTGTTCCTGGAGCAAGCCAGGATTTGACCATGACCTGGTGTAGTCACGGTGGGGAGGGGTTGAGATATGGGTTCTTGTATTTTTGTTTCCCTCCAGGTTCCTGTGGTCAACGGGGCTTGCTACTACAAAGACCGTCACGCTGGAAACTCCAAAACACAAATACCAGGAGGCACCATGCGAGAACGCCACAGTACCTCCAGCACTTGGAGAATCATGCAATAAGCAGACTTTGTGATGCTCATGACTGCCGTGCTTGCGGATATTATTTTCCATATACTGAGTCTTCAGCACTTTCAGGCAATCTGGAACCTCTGAGAAACCGCAGCCATGAAAGAATCAATGCGAACATTTGAGACACACACAGAGAGAAATTGCAGCAAAATCTTTTGATCTCAAGATAGCCTGCATCATAAGGTACCCTTGTTCCACGACTGCCCGCTGAAGCGTCGGTTGAATGCCAAACCCTGAAGTTTTAAACCCATACCCTTGAAGCCTGAATCCTCAAAACCCCTGAAGCGTTGAATTCGACGCAGCCTAAATGCCCTATTTGCAGAGATCGGGTCCCGAAGAATCCCATGAAGATGGATCAAAAGTCGTACCTGCAGCCATTCATGACGATAGAAGCCATGCTTCATAAAGAACCATAACCCTCACAAGCAAAATCCTAAGCAAAATCCTAAAGCCTTGGAGCTCCTTGCGACCCCAAAACAAGCCGTGAAAAAAACACAGAGAGCACGCCAAAAGCCGCTTCGATGACTACTATTTGCTTAAGAACCCCCAAATATATTCCTTATAGGGATAATATAGGGATTATATTTTTCTATTTTTTGGTGGGTTCTTAAGCAAATAGTAGATGAGGTTCCGAAGTTGCAGATGAACTCTTTGCCTCTGCCGGCCGAGTCGGAGTCCCAGGAGCTGCCTTTCGTTTCAACGACTCTAGAGGGGCCTTAGTAAATCTAGGGTTCCTACAGTTCCGTTTAAAGGGATTTATAGTAGGATCCTATGGTATAGGGGCCTTAATAAGAAGAATCTACTAGTCCTTAGGGTTTCTTTCAAGGGGTCGATAAGGGCTACTATAAGGGTGCTATAATATAGTGGCCTAAATAATCACCTATACCAGTTTGGGGGTTCCTTATTATAATGGGCCCTATTCTAGACTATTGTTAATATCATTATGATTGTTAAGGCCCCTATATTAGCTGGCACGTTGGGAAACTGTTGGCTTGCTGTTATAGTTTCTATACAGGTACCTATTCGTAATACTCTTCAGGGCCCCTAAGCTCCGACCCAGTAAACTTTGTAAGAAGACTACTTGTAACGTATAGCACAGTACCCGTTCTGAATTCGAAAGAAGATACCGTAACATGTTTGATCTTGAAGACTATTGGTAATAAGCATAATCACAAAAGTAAGTACAATTCTACTAGTAAGTTATTGATATAGTATATATATATATACCCCGCAAACGTGAGGGTCTTGGGGGCTGGAGCACAAGAGATTTTTGGGTCCGTTTGAACCCCTGGGGCGAGCCTGGATTCAAGACGGTTCACCCAGACCTTCCAGTACCCCTCAACAATGGAATAGACCTTAAATAATAGTAGGACCCTTACTACGATTTAAGGCATACTCCTCAATTAAGGGATATTGGAAGGTCTGTGCATCTGAGAGACGGTTTGCGTTTGGGTTTGCAGATGGGCTCCTTAGGAGAAAGGCAAGTGCTTGGTTTTGGTTTCCTTTCGGTAAAACTGGAAGCACAAAACTCGACGTATTTTACAAATTTTAAAAAATGTGCAACAACGGGAAGACCTGAAGAGTTCAAGGTTTTTGGTTTGGGATTTAGGGCTGGAAGGGTGGAGGCTTTCTGGTTGCAGTCTGTATGGCAATCAGGGGTTACGGGTTCAAGGTTTCTTGTCGTGGGTTTCAGGGTTCTCTCCCAGGTGCAGCCTTTTCTGGGTGAACCGCGATGCTCTCTTCTCGTACCATGTGCTGAGCTCAGATTTGGTTTGGTCAATTTGCTTTAAAGCCTGAAGGAAGCCGCAAACGCCTCAATGAAAAATCCGCAAGCCCTAAACCCCCTGATAGACACGATTCGCAAACTGCGGAGGTCATTCTGCATGGCCTGCGTTGTTTCGTGGTTTTCCAGCCTTCAACACATGGGTCCACTAGTTCATCGATTGAAGACATCTGGGTCATCCCGGCTCCCCAGTGTAAGCTGAAAAAGGGACCTCAACAACCCCTTAAACGCTAAACACCCCTAAATCCTTAAACCCCTAGTCCCTAAATCCTTAAACCCCCAATCCCTAAATCCTTAAACC